TATGTCCTTTGATCCTTATGGTGATCCTGTGACACTAGTAACTACCTGTGGACTGAATGAAGTACAGTCAAAGTGGTTAAATCATTTGTTCTGAGTTATAATCTATTTAATAATATTTCAAAGTAGAATTTTTGGTCTTTATCAAGTAATACATTCTTCTTTCCTTTGAATGCACTGAAACAATATCAGTTACTTAAGCATTCTGGTTTTTTTAAATGATCATTTGAGCTTTTACTCATGCATTACTTTTAATCAACATCTCATGTGACCAACACTTTTCTTGGCAAGTCAAATAGCAGGACCAGAGTTCAAATTCACATACTTCCTTTCCTAGTCCAGACGTGATTTTATTATGTGTATTTAAATTGAATTGCTTTTTAAACTAAAAATAAGTATATAAAATATTTTTAAATCCATTAACCTGACAAACTTTAAGTAAAAATATAAACAATTTTATAAAGCAATTAAAATTTACCAATGTATTGACTTGAATCTCCTGTTCTAACCTTATTTTAATGACACATGTTCATGTAACTGCTGTTCCGTTACCAACAGTGTTTTTAAGATTTATTTGGATTTTTTTGCCAAATGAAACAACAGTGTCCTTTCTGTTGTAATTTTCATGAATCTATTTAAATTAATTAACCAAATTAACAAACCATAGAATCCAGTATGTTTATTGAGACCCAAAAATTTTATAATGGCTTCTGTTGGAGCCTCTGCAAAAAATTTCTAATAAGAAAAACAGTTTATTTTACTAAACAAGACATGATGGATTCTTTAATAAAAAGAAATTGCTATTTTAAGTTGTAACTAATATTTCTTTTGGCTGCAGTAGAAAATAATTTGCAAAATGATAAGTTGACAAGTCAAACTGAAATAATTAATGAAGATTTAGGGTCATATTTTATTTTCCCTTATGTTCTTCATATCTGTTATTTCAACAGGATTTACATAATGTGGCATTTGAATAATGGGGAGTAAAAATTTAGTTGCATTATAAAAGCCTAGCCCATCTGGGAAATGATCTTGGGGCTATGCTATTTATGTAAAATACCTTAATATTTCTTGATATCATATGTATAAGTAAATTAAGATAGATTATTAGGGAAATTTTTTAATCTTTCTGGTGGTGGTTTTATATATGTTTCCTTTTAAACTTTTAATTTAGGAGAAGAAAATTAAGTTGGTGGTAATTATTAGTTTCACTCAATAGTCATCTCAGTAGAAGTTAGTATCTATACCCCACCCCTAGATATTCTTACTCAGTTGGTTTCAGTGAAGACCCAGAAATCTGTTTTAATAGATACCAGCAGTAATTGTGATGAAGTGGTCCTTGGGCCTTAGTAATAGAAATTTTTTAAAGAGAATGTACTTCTTCAGGCTAATGCACTAAAATTACCAAAGGTAAATACTCTAACTAATGTTATAGCTTCCTCCATCCAGACTGTACCCTGCTTCTGTAACCAGATCAGGCTGACTACTAGTGATTTTCTCACCATAACAGTAATGTTTCCATTTGGAACCTTGGAACATATTATTATGTGACTGGTGCTTAGTACATTGCATGGCACACAATAGGTACTGTGTAAATACCTTGGAATGAGCCCTGGCTGGTGTCGTTCATTGGATTGAGTGCTGGCCTGTGAACCAGAGGGTTCAATTCCCCGTCAGGGCACATGCCTGGGTTGCAGGCCAGGTCCGTAGTAGGGGGTACATGAGAGGCAACCACACACTGATGTCTCCTTCTCTTTCTCCCTTTCTTCCCCTCTCTCTAAAAATAAATAAAGAAAGAAACCATTTTAAAAAAATGTATTTCAAAAAATGTGTATTTGAATGGATGATTTAAGGAGACCCAGGAGCTCGATGTTTAACATTCCTGTGTTAGCCACACTCCATACATCTTTTGGGCCAGCTGCCTTAATTATGTGTACAGTTTCCTCCTTAAATTTTACATGTCTTTTAAAGACAGAGCCATTTCTTGTTTATTTTCATCTTTCTCCTTTTAAGAGTATTTCAGAGATACATGGCAGTAAATATTTATTAAGTGAAAAAATATATTTTTTGAAAAACGTAATCCCCCATACTAGATTCTCATCTCCATGAGATCATGAGCAGGGACCTTGCCTCTCTTTTTCACAGTAGTTTGCTCCAGGCTTGGTAGTGACCACGTGCTCTGAAATGTATGAATGAATGAAAAATAATAAAATAATAGACTTTATTTTAATTATGGTTTTAAACATTTAATGTTGAGGGTTAAGGAGGCTGTGTGTGATAAAATTTATTTTTATATAAGAAAAAAATCAGCCTTACACTTTTAAAAAGGAATTCACAGTTGAAATATCCCTACCTTTTGCAATAGACGGAATGATGGAATTTGACAGATTCTGAACTGGGGAAACCTTATCATGGCATTATGGTTAACAGACTTTTCTATCTCACTTAGTATTAAACAGCTTTTGTTAGTAATTATGAAAATATCACAGTGATATTAAACGACAGTCTCTTGACATCTTATGAAGTAAAGATGTTTCCCCAGAAAGCTAGAGAGTCTATCAAATCAACTTTTTTTAGTTGAAAATGAAGAAGACAGAAGAATATTCTAGTAGCTGTAAAACTTTTTGAAATAAATGTTATGAGTCTGCTCTTCAGAAATGTTCTTACCATATTTTTCAAAACACATTAGTATCAGCAAATAAGTTAGAGCTCTGACAGAGTGTGAAATTTCAAGCTTCATATCCTTAAAGACTATAATTAACATGTGAAATTTCTCTAGATAACTTGCCATACTATTTTATGTTTTATGAACACTGGGAGTTTTTTATCGAAGAGCTTCTATTATCCTTCAAATTATCTGCTCTCCTTTACTTTGATACACCCTAAGAGAATATTAGTTATTTAAGCATTTTAATTTCATGAATGATTATTATTTGAGATTTTACCCTTCTGTGGATATTAATCAAAATTCCATATGTGAAGCATACTCTTTGACAAGTTTATAAACATACAAGGTCTGTCCAGAGAGTGTTCAGCCATGTAATATGAAAAATGAAGATATTTATTGAACAAGATACAAGAAACATTGTACATAGGACAATGACACTTAAGTCCCCTTCAAAGTTGGCACCTTGGGACCTCATAAAGTTCTCCCACTCACCATCAGCTGCCCCACCGTATTTTTCTGAATCTCATCACTAGCCTGAAATCTCTTCCCTTTCAAAGGTGATTTTAGTTTCAGGAAAAGCCAGAAGTCACAGGATGCCAAATCTGGGCTGTAGGGGGACTGAGTCACCTGGGTGATTTGAAGTTTCACCAAAAATCTGTGCACGACACGTGATGCATGAGCAGGCATGTTGTGGTGGTGAAGCTGCCAGTCACCTGTTGCCCTTAACTGCAGTCTTCTGAGCCATCTGAATAGTTTTCCCAGAGGAATGTTCAAGCTCAACACAAAAACATGATGCAGACTCACTGCTCTACTCACTCAGTCATTTTGAATGCGATAGCCACACAGTACACATGCTCATTCGATAGCATCTGTCACCCGCACTGACTGGTATAGTGAAGTTGTTATTGTTCATGCATACATATTCTAGTCCACTCTCCTTAGCTACCCGGTTCCAACCATGTCGTGCAAACCATTCTTGCTATATTAACCATGGTTGGACTTTTTCCATACAGACTTTGTAAGGTTACTATGGGTTAATTATATAACATGTGCTCTATATCTGTATCACTGTATCTCATTCCTGGTCAAATCCCAGATCTCCTTCACCTTTTAACTTTTGTGTTAGTTCTCCAAATCATCTTCTCTTTTATTATAGCAATTAGTTACATATCCTCCTAAATATGCAGCCTGCAAATAACACCAAAGCTCCAGCTTCTAGGAAAACATAATTAACAGAATATGGGGAAATACTGGGAAGAAGAAGCAACAATTAGGAACTTGACGATGCTGAGCCATAAAGGGAGTGCCATGTGACTCCAGAGAGATTTAAAGGTGTCAGTTTCATTGGAAGCTGTGGCTAGAACTGGTCTCTAAGTCATGCAAAGCTCCCATACCAACACTCCTTAGATTGTCTGTTTCAGTTTGGTAAAAATGTCAGTTATCTAAAGATATGTTTATTTATACCATAAAAAATTGAAAAAGATCTCTCACCCATATGAAAGAATAAAATTATTTTTCACCACAGTAATGGCTCTTTGGGAAGGCTGGGATTGAGCTGAATGTGGGAGAATTGAAGGAACAAAAAAGGAACAGCAAGAGGAGAAAAGGCAGATCCTAACAGGCAGCAAATACAGGATGCTAATTGCTCCCTTGTTTATTCTCTTCAGTCACCTTTAACATTCTGCCTGGTGACTGTCCCTGAAAGTACTCTTATCTATGTCTCTTTGACAAAGAGACACAAGACTTTCCCCTCATTCCAATTTCCAGTCACTTTGTACATAATTCCACAGGAAGTTTTACCACAATAAAAAATTCCAAACACCTCTAGAAACATTTGCATTTCCAGTAGTCCCCTAAACTGTATTTTTAATGGTTGTTCTTAGACATGATTTTGTCCAAGAAAAAGGGTTCTTTACTGTTTTCAGTTTCTTTAAACATGTTTATGATACTGGAAATTCCATTGACTGTGGAGAAGTAAAGCTCTCATATTTTTTATATTCTGTCCCCATAATAGGTGATTGTGAAGATGCATCATGTCCTCAAAAGAGAATGTGCACAAATTAAACTCCACATTTTATATAACCCACTAATTTCATTTCTAGTATCTGCCACTTTATAGGCTAATAAATAAATAAATGCATGTTATTGAATTTTAGTTAACTTGCCTTTATCCTATGGGTATTTTGTTCTAAAATTAGGAGATGTTGGAGAGTTTGTAAACTGGGGTTTTATTTTGAAAAATTAATAGTTGTTTGTATTCAGTGATTTTCAGACTAGTATTAAGCCATCTTTTAATGAATTTGAATATTAAATAAGTTGCTTTGCTTTATTTTAGGTGATGGTGTTTGTACATGCTCGAAATGCCACTGTAAGAACAGCTATGTCTCTAATAGAAAGAGCAAAAAATAGTGGCCAGGTTTCCTGCTTTTTACCTACACAAGGATCTGAATATGGACATGCAGAAAAACAGGTAGGGGACAAATAACAGCAAGATACAAGAACTAAAGCACATAATGTGCCAGATATACCAGGTATTTTATGCATGAAAGATCCATGGTGTTCAATTTCTAAGAAACTAATTTTACAGATTTTTTTATGTTATAATCTTGACTTCTTTCTTGACTTAATTAATGGTCTTTCAAAGGATCCCAATGCATGTGTTCAAGTATATCTTCTGTCTAAATGTTTTAATTGTAGTGTTTAGTCCTGCTCTTTAAAGTATAGTTAAAACATAAAGGACAGTTAAGTTTTATAAAATATGTTAACATCTATATATTTATCATTGTTCTTTTAAAGAACTAATTGACAATTTTTAAAAAATTTACCACCTTTAATTTCCTTGGGTCAGTATGGACAGACATACCTACATAAAAGCTCTTTTAAGAATGTAAGTGTTTGACACCAACAAATTTAAGACCAACTGCAAGGCTTTTCAGTATGTGCTCAAAGGACCTGAAAAGCAAAGGTCCTCAATAGAAATGCAGAAACTCAGGCCCCGCTCCAGTTTTACCAGATTATAATCTGCATTTGAACTTGATCCCCAGATGATTTTATGCCCATTACAGTTTGAGACATACTTCCATAGGTAATTTGGGTATCCTGAGATTTATAGGCTTTATTTAATTATATCAAATAACATTTAAGATCACCAGTGGGCAAACTACAGTCCAAGAGCCAAAGGCAGTCACCTATTTCTGCAATTAAAGTTCTCTCAGAAAACTGCCAGACCCTTTTCTTTTTTCTGTGGCTGCTTTTTTTGGCAGGACAAGGGAGGAACTGAATACTTGCTATGAGACTACGTGGTTGGTCCACAAGCCTAAAATACCCTGACCCTACGCAGAAAAAGTTGGCTATGATTTATAGCTATGAAAATAAATTTTCAAATAAAAAATTCTGAACATAAAATGATACTGACTTTACAATATAATATTTTATATGCAATAAGATTTCACTGTTGTTTACTGAGCAGTTGCTAGATGCCAGACGTTGTTCTATGAGCTTTCATATTTTTCAGTCAATAAAATGTATTTAATTGTTATAATTGCACTGTAAATTCTACCTCTTTTAATGATATTTTAAATTCTGAGTATGATAATCTGATGCCAGGGGTGAATGTCAAATTCTCTCTCAATTTAAAACTATAAAATGTATTCTTTTTCTTCATTTTTTCATATTATGAGATTTCTATTCTATAATATTTATTAAACAGCTTTGTATCTTCCCATTATGTACTAATTATGAATTTATGAGAGTCTTTGAAAAGTCAGGTTGGCATTCATAAGCCTTAGTCCGTTTCTTTGGAAATACAAAGCAAGTCTATTGTGTTTCAAAGCCAAGCCTAGAGAGCCACCTTGTGGACATCTGGTTATTTTATAGCTCTCTATTCTGAGAGCTATCACTGTTCTAAATAAAGCAGGTTTATTACTTTATTGTTATAATAATGTTTAATATTTATCAGGTGTTCATTAGGGCCAATGATGGTTTCTGTTACTGTATATAACTCAGTTCTCACAACAACCTGTGATGTAGGTTTGTATTGTTATCCCTTGATATAGCATATATGTAAGTAATTCAGATATAAAATATTCTAAAGCATATAGAAATAATTTACATAGAGAATTTTTCAAGTAATTGGGACAATATGATCAAACACAGATTCACAGATCACTATGCTGAAAAAAACATGAAGAAATAGAAAGTTTTAATATAATTGGGTAGATTTGAAAATCTGTAGTTATTTTTATTATAACTTTTGGTATTTTATTGTACTTCATTTTTATCCAATTTAACTGTTATTATTGGATTTTTTTAACAAGAATGAATTCCACAATATTTATTAGTAAATACAGGAGCATTTTTCTGTTCACCATTATATTCCCAGCCTTTTATACAGTATTTGGCTGATAGTGGGTACCCAAAAATTACTTTTTCTTTTTGCCTTTGTACTTATGAGACGAAAAGTGTAAGAGATGTTTGCACTTTAATTTTGTCATGGTCAGCACCACTATTGTTCCTTTGAAGATTCGTATCCCCATTTTACAGATAAGGAAACTGAAACTGGGTGAGGGAGTCATTTCCCTGCCGCTCCCATGTAGTGAGTTAGTGCAGCCATGATTTGGGCGAGTCTCACTGCAAAGTCTACACTTTTCACTGCCTGTCTTTCTGTTTCTTCTTCCTTTTATTGAATTTACTGTGATGACACTGGTTAACAAAATTACACAGATTTCAGGTGCACAACCCACAACTCATCGTCTGTACACGGTTCTGTGTGTTCCCAAGTCTGACCTCCGTCTGTCATCATTTATCCCCCTAAACACTCTTCCATCAAAAGCAAGTAAAAAATACAGTGTGGGATTTTTTAAAGGCTTGAGGGCTTTGAGTCATTTTTTTTAATAAAAGGGAGGAATATTTTTTAATCATAGCCATATTCCCCATTTCTCCTAAAGAGATATTCAAAAAAGTGGGCCCCTCCACAGTGGATATTATTTTATAACAAAAGATAAGGTAATCTTCCTGAATGTTTTCTCACATGTTCAGAATTTTATATTATAGTTCTGGTTCTGGTTGTGTATGTCTTCCTATTCTTTGAAGCACTCTTTGAAGTTGAATGGTATTAACATTCTAGCAATTCTGAGGAAGCTATTACCATGATGGTAGGGGATATTTCTTCCCACGTTTTTGAAAAATGGGAAATTAAGTACTCAAAACATTAAAATAAAATTAGGAGGTAATTTTGCTATGGTCCTACATAGAAATTTAGCCTCGTGGGTCCTGTTAATGGAAATATAACGGAATCCCTACTGTGTCCCTGTGATACTTTACCCCTACTTATTTAATAGAAGCATCTTAAGTCCTGACTTACCAAATAAGGTTTTTTAAGGCATTTCTTCACAGTTTTAACACACTATAACTTTATTTGTATAAATAATAAATAAAACTGCATTAAGGAATTGGAATGCCCCTCCCTCCCTCTCTCTCTCTCTCTCTCTCTGGACATTATGTGTGATGTGTGTAAAAAGGATATTTCTGTGCTTTATCCACAACTTAAATGAGTCTTTTCTTTCTAGTAAGTGAAAATTATACTTCAGGGCACCTCATGTTATTTTCATCTTTACTAACAGTCATCCCTAGGTGAAAAACCTGCCATATTTTCAAATTGTCCACTGAAACAAGAAAATAGGGAAAGAAAAAATGAAATATCTAGAAGTAGCTTAACCTGAAGAGATGGAGTATATAGGAATTTCAGACGAGGCCCTCAGCAAGAGGGCACATTAACAGAAAGCTCTAATCGTGACTTGACCACTAGAAGCCCTGTGTCCTTAAACACCTAAATATTTTGGAAGCTTTTTCTTCTATCAAATGGAATAACAATGGGATAAATAACATCTGTTCTAGTAGTTTACTATGATAAAGAAATGGAGTGATATATGAAATTATTTTGGAAACTGGCTGAACAGTTACAAAACTTTACATATATTATAGAAATCTACTTTTAGAATATATATATTAATAACTAAATATTAAAATGGTGGAAGGATAACAAGCAATATGGATAAATTTTCCTAATTTACCCTGCATATTATTACTTTCTACTTCTCCAACAAAGATACTCTCAAGAAACCACAGTTTTCTGTGAAATTGAACATGCTTCAGGGGAAAGTAGCAGCTTACATTTACAGAAGTAACTATATCAAATTGAATGAATATTTAAATTACACTGTTCAAATTCTGTTTCACTCAAGATGTAGGCAAATACATTTTTATACTTAGGTACAGATTTTTTAGAGATTTTAAATATTCTAATGTGAATGTGAGTGTTTCCATCTTCCCACCCGCCACCATACTTCCCTGGTTTATGAATTTTTGTACATATATTAGTAATGTCAAGAGGTTTTTCTTCTTTTAGCTAGAAATGATCAATCATACAATAAGCCTCATGAATGCAGTTAATAGAAGTAAGTATCTATTAAATCAGAAAACTGGGAAAACCCCAATAATAATATGTATCCTCAAAGCTACCTTAAAGTATCATTGTATGACTTTGTATTACCTACATCTACCAACCATCTCCTTGTTTTCATAGATGAGATTTCACCTTTGCCTAATAATGGAATCTGGCTTTGATACAAGTTTTCTGATCATGTTGATAGCTTTCTTTATTTCTGCCTTAGCAGCTTAACAGTATCAGTATAGGCCAAATAAAATTAGAATTTCTTCCTGCAATAGAAGATACCTGTTAAATAAAGACTAGCAGGTGTCTGATAGCCCCCTTCTCTTATTTTTTACTTTAAATATGTGCAAAATGTTATCTTCTCAGAGGTTATTTTTTCCTTCACCATATCAACCTTCTTTCCTTTTGGAGGATAATATAGCAATTTTACTGTCTTTTGTAATCAAACAGAAGTAATGTCAAAAGTGCAATATTGTTTTAAACAGAAAATTAAATTAAAAAATGGAACCATGTTTTTAATTGAATTTTTGGAAGCTTCACTTACTGTTTTCAAAGGGAAGTAGCCTCTCAGAATAAAGGCTGTGGATCAAGGCACACCTAGACATTAATCTTCATTCAGATGCTCTAACATAGACTTTTGACTTTCTCAAGTTATAATTTACTCATATACAAAGTGACAGTGATACCTATATCTTAAAATTTTTGTAATAAATGAGGCAACATAGATCTTTTCTGACATATAGTAGACACTGTAAATAGTTACATATGACCTTTAAAGGGCAGAAAAGGACAGCTTTAAAGAATATTTGCTGTGATCATGTTAAAGTTAAGGCTTTAGGACAACAAAATATAATATATTGAATTGCCAAAGGCAGTAAACAGGTTGGGAGAAATGTCAGTAAGGGATACAACAGGATAGTTAATACACAAATCTCTAGATGTGTTCTTGTTTAATAACCAAAACAATAATGAACTTTCTAGTAAGTTTAATAACCAAAAACCATAATGAACTTTCTAGT